CAGAGGTGACCGTACCTTATCTGCCCATCTCTGAGAAGTAGTGGATCAAAAAAAAAAAAAAATACTGCCATCTTGCTTGATGAATTGCTAAGAGATTTTATAAGGCTGGGTTGTGCTGCCCTCTCCCATTGGACCGAGTCTCAGGGAGCCCAAGTCTCCCTGGAGGGACTGTCGCAAGCGAGCACTTCCCTCCTGGTTTAGACTTGAAAAAGAAACCCAGCTTGAGGAAGAAGACACCGTTTTGTGAAGTCCCTACCTTATTCTGTTCCACACCCTTTAGAACCTGTTGTCTCCTGCAAAAGGCATTTTTTCCACCATGGTCTACCCACAAGATTTGAGCAAAGCCCCAGGTTCTCTTTGCCACCCAAAGGCCATTGCTGAGGCAACTCTTGTCTCCTTGTTCCCCTCACTGCCTGTGATGTGAACTTGACATATACTTACCACCCTCATTCAACAAAATCTTACCACCTTCCACCCCCGGTCACCAAAATGTCTCCAGACTCCAGCAGGAGGAAATAGACCTTTTGAGTGTGTCTGTACATCAGGCCCTAAGCCTGGCACTTTACACCCCTGGCCTCAGCAAATCCTCACAGTCCTCTATGCGGTTCAACATGTGAGGGGTCTTTTTAGCCCACAACACCTCCTTCCCCTGTGTTTGGTGGGGGAGCATTTCCAAAGTCTTTGTGCTTTCGGTGACCCTGCTCCCCTGCGTCATCAACAACTGCGGCGCCTGAGCCAAACTTGGTCAATCACTTTCTCTGCCCTGAGAATCTGGATTGGAACTCAGAGACACTGGTCAGCACCTGTTGACACTGAAGGAACGATGGTGTGGCCACTTGGACTGCGAGCCTAGAGAGGCAGAAGGTGCCCATCTGGGAGAGGCAGAGAGAAAAGGAGGACGAGAGGCAGAGACAGAGAGAACGAGCGGGGGCTGAGATGTCAAGAGACGCGTGGTCCACAGTGACGATGAGAGCAAGCCCATTCCTGATGATTTTCCAGTGCCTGGCTCCAAAGCTTCTTGATACTCTGTCTCATTTTCCCTCCTTGGGTACCACTATCTACCTCCTAATTTAATAACACTTTCCTTGTTCTTCTCCCCCCCTGCCTCCCCACCCCCGCCCAAGTTCAGCGTGATTCTGTTACTACTGGTTACAACTGAAAGAATGTTGGTAAGACGGGTAGGTTTTAGATCCCCATTTTACAGAGACAGAAACTAGGCTCAGAGATTAAGCCACAAAGCCCAGGCTCACACAGCTAGTCGGTGGCAGAGGCGGGAAACACGTGTCTCTGTGAATCCAATTGCTGACATGCATGGAGTGTGTTCTTTATGCCAGGCATTTTCTAAAAGCTTTACACGTGTTATCTCATTTTATCCTCAGAGCACCCCCACGGGGGCGATACAGTTGTCAGCACCATTTGACAGATGAGGAAATGGAGGCAAGGGAGGCTGAATTATCTGCTCAAGATCACGTAGCATGCAAGGGCCAGAGCCAAGGTTGGAACCCATGCAGTAGAGAGGATCTTAAAAATTAAGCTGAATAGGTGTTAATGCGTCAGTGCTGGTTCTGGGGGCAGCAGTCTGGGCAGGGCAGGGGCCAGAAGTTCCCAGAATTTGATAAATGTAGATATGTTGAATTGAATTATGGATCCTTAGAGGATGGGTAAGCCCTTGGAGGTCCCTGCTGGACTATGTGTCTACCTAATGTAAGTGTCTGCTCTCAGCAGCTCTGACCAATGGTCATTCCGCCCCTGAGGTATGGTACCTCTGTTCCATCATTGAGCAGGCCAGTTCTCGTTCCCTGAGCTCTCACTAAATACTTGGCTCCTCTCCCTGTCCTTACCCCTCTAGTTAACCCTTAGTTAACCTCCCGAACATGGATAAATCATAGCTCTGGGTGACTGCAGTTTCCACTATGGCTTGGGAAATGTGTGCTTTCACTTAGAAACTGGATTTTGTCAGGAAGACAGCAAGCTTAGCCCTCCTCCCCTCAGCATACCCTTCAAGGCCCAGGCGGGACAGTGAAGAAGGGACAGACCCTCCAGGGCTGGGACCCCTGCGGAGGACATGCCTGTGCAAGGTGGTGTTGAGTGCACTTTGGGCTCTCAGCGGGGACGTGCTGAGAGAGGGAAGGCCAGTCCCTATGGCTTGTGGGAGTTAGAGAAGCAGAACGGGCTTGCTGTGATTGCAGAAGAAGGCCGAGAGGGACCCAGGAGGATTTTCCGGGGCAGCGGTGCCTTGAAGCAGGCTGCAGGTCATTCCAGGTTAGTGTAGCTGACCCTTTGGAGAAAATGGTGAAAGTCAGAAATTTTCTCTGCCCAAAATGTACATATAGACGTAAGTTTGCTTAAGACACAAATTGCTTACTTAGTTCATGGGTCCCCAAACCTATTCAAGGTCTCTAGTTAAGAAGCCCTGATCCAGAGAGCCACTGCCATCTGATTAAGATGCCAAGAGGAACGGTGCTTTGCCTAGCCTCCCAGCAAGGTGTTATTGCTCCTGGAATCTTCGCTGAACCCATAGGCTGAGTAGGGCCCTTCCTCTTTCTCCTGCACCTGTGCATTTCACTGTATCACATTGTTTTTTGGTTTTGGTTTTGTTTTTTTAAATGTGGTCCTTAGACCAGCAGCTTTAGCATCACCTGGGAACTTGTTAGAAGTGCACATTCTCAGTGGGGCCCAACAACCTGCCTTTGCACAGATCGTTCCAACAATTCTGAGGACCATCCAAGTTTGAATAGGGCTGCTGCAAGCAGTCTTCGATCTGTCATATGTGTGCCGTACTGCACAGAAAGTGCTGGGCACCTAGTGAGTTCTCAATGAATATTAATTGCATCATATTTTCCCGACTTCCAGGGCAGGTATTTTACCCCTTGATACCCTACCGCTCTGAGTCTGGTGACTGAGATGCAATGTTATTTGGGTCCAGTTTCTTTCTATTCCAGGGCCTAAGGTCAGGCTTATTTAGCTCCACTAGGTAGCGGAGAAGGCTTGGCCTTGAGGAAGGTGCCCGGAAACCTTCACACAGGGATGGAGCCAGAGACATCAGAGCTGGTCATCTGTCCAGGCAACAGGTCCTCAGCCAGCTGGTGGCAGGTAGGCAGGGGCTGCCTGGCCACCATGTATATGCCCAGGGTTCATGGGAGCCCTACACTGCCAAACTCTGCAGGCTGCCCTGCTCCCCTTGGTGCCTGTCTTACACCAGCTTTGGCAAAGGCTGCCGAACCTCTGCCAGGAACATACTTGCCAGGCAGGCAGGGAGGGAAATAGACACTTTTTTTTTTAAATGACTCCAACTTTTGGGGGGTAGGGGAATGGTTAGAAGATCCCTCTTAAGTTCTTGCCTTTGTGCATGCACGCACACGCGCGCGCGTGTGTTTGTGTGTCTGTGTGTGTGTGTTTTAAGAGGCAAGAGTGTCTCTTAATTCTATGCCTCCTATGCAGGGCTACATTCCCACATGTTTATTCTTCAGAAAGAGGAAGTGTCTTCTATATAGTCCCTCTGTTTCCTGACATTTAAAAAATAATAACTTTTCTGGGGAGTGCAGAGAAAAAAAATTCTGTAACCTTTTTTGTCTCATATCTGATTCAGCTCTTTAAATTTTTTTTTGATTTTTTTTGAAGGTGAGGGCAGTGAAAACATACCTGTTTATCCTTAATTTCCAAAGCTTTTGTTTTTAAAAAGTATATTTTATTTTAAAAACTTTGTATTTTCTCTTCAGAAGGGGGAAAGAGAAAGAAAGCTTGCTTTAATTTCATATGAGCAGTTCTTTAAATTTTTATTCTAAAAATCAATCTGTTGTGGGAGATGTAGGATGGACCCAGTAATCCCTCTTGTCTCTTTAGGGAGCAGGTCCTTCACACTTAATTTTTTTTTTTCAATTTGATATTTTGGGGCAGATGAGGCGGAGGACAGAAAAAAAAAATCCCCTTTAAAACTTCCCAAGTTGCAAGGAGGCAGTTCCTCAAATTAAAAAAAATTTTTTTGATTCTTTTTATGGTGTTGGATAGAATTATTCTTGTTCACCATTTATTTCACATAGAAACAGTTTCTCAAGTTTTTTTTTTTTTTTAAATAAACTTGATTGGAGCATATGGGCGGGGGCTAACCACCCCCCCTAACCTCTTGTCTAACATAGGGCCATTTCTTCAGACTTTTATTTTTAACATAAATGTTCTTAAAAAATTTTTTTTAAAACCAGGGTAGATAGAAATACTCTGCTCACCCTGCATTTCATATAATTATAAAGTAGCTCCTCAACTATTTATTTTTAAAATCAATCTGATTGGGGGGTCTAGAAAGAGTCCCCTTAACCCCTCTTGTCTGACATAAGGCCAGCTCTTCAAACTTTTATTTTTAAATGACATTTAATTTTTTTTTAGAGGGGGTGGCAGGGGCAATAGGAATAACTTCATGGAGCCTTCCGATTCTTCCATAAGGCCAGCTCTACAAAGTTTATTTAAAAAATCAATCTGACTTTTTGGGGGTGGGTTGTGGGAGTAGAAGAGTTCCCATTTAACCCTTTGTGTTCCACTGAGAGGCAGCTCCCCAAACTTTTTTCCCAACGTGAAAATGACTTTTCCGAGGGGCTGCAGAACGGGGGAAGGGCAGAAGGGCGCTGGGGGGCGGGCCCCGGGGGCGCGCGGAGGGCAGGGCGCGGCGCGGGAAAGTTTGGGGGGCGGGTGCGCCGCGGCCCCGGGGCTGGCGGGCGGGCGGCAGCGGCGCGCCCGGGGGCCGGCCGGCTTTGTGTGCGGCGCGGAGGCCGGCGGCGCGGAGGCCGAGGCCCGGAGCTCGCGGGCCGCGCGGCGAGGCCGGCCCGGGGGCGGGCAGGGCGGCGGGGGGCGACGGCGGCCCCGCGGGGGGCGGCTCGGCGGCGGCAGCGGCGGCGGCGGCGGCCGGTGCGGGCCGGGGGTGGGGGCGAGGGCCGGGCGCCCCCCCCGCGCGCCCCCAGCGCCCCCGCCCCCCCGGCCTGAGCGGGGCGGGCGGAGGAGGGAGCGGCGGCAGCGGCGGCGGCAGCGGCGGCGGCATTGTGCGCGCACCAGCAGCCCGGCCCGGGAGGAGCAGGACGCGCCGGGGCCGCCTCCTCCCGCACGGACCCATGAACCAGCCGGGCGGCGCGGCGGCTCCGCAGGTACGACGGGGGGCCGGGGGCATGCACTGCGCGGGGGACCCCGGGGGGCCGGGGCCCGGGGCGCTGCGCCACTTCATTGCAAGATTTGCCAAATGCAAAGTGCCTGGGCACGTTTGCGGGCTTTTTGTGGGCGCTAACGGGAGGGTCGGGGTCTGGATAGCCCCCCCCTCGGGCGCCGCGGGGTGCAAGGAGGGTGGGGGAAACGATGGGGTCTTTTCGGACCCCCAACTCGGCGCCCTCTCCGGCCCCGGGCTCGGACCGGAGCCCAGAAAACAAAGCGGTGAGAGAACAGAGCAGCCATTTCAGTTTGGACAATTCACATTTTGCAAAAATGCAACCCCTTCCAGCTCTCCCCCCTCCCCTCCAAATTTGCAATTTCCCCCTGACCCTCTCAGCGCTCCGGGTCCCTGATGACCCCCCGGGAGGTTTTTCCTCCCTGGACCCCCATCTTTGCAACAATCTTTTTTTTTTTAAGGCCATATTTCCCTTTCTCATTTTTTTTTTCTAATTTTTCTTCAAACGGTAGTTTTTTCCCATTAAAACGACGCCACCTAGAGGATACTATTTTGTAAATAAAAAAAGAAATTAAAATTGAAAAGAAATATTTTTTATTTCTTATTTTTTCAAAAGTTTGCACTATAAGGCAGTGGAGGGGAAAGAGATTCTTTTTTTTTCCTTTTTGGGGTGAAAATTTTCACTTTGACCTTTCCACAAGCATGAAGACAATTTTTATTTCTGAAGCCAAATCCAGATAATATGTAAATGAAAATTAAGCTGGAATTTGAATGAATTCAGTGTTTGAAGGGATGAAAGCAAAAAGCCTCCTAAAACCAAAGTCACTTTGGTTGCCCAACTCATTTTAGTTTGAGAAAAAACTAACTGGAATGAGGAAAGGAGGGAAATTGTTGAGTTTAGGGAAAACTAGGAGAAATTGGCTTTATGAAGCAATTAGAAATTGTACTTCATTGTAATTTGGAACTTGTTTAGCTCAGCGGGCAAAAAAGACTAATTTCACCATTTGGGAATATTTAAGTTGTTCTGTTTCCAAGAAGGGAGGATTTAAAAGAGAAAATAGACCCTAAAATGTTGGCTTTGGACACACCCAGAAATTCTAGGTGGTTTTTTTTTTTTTTTAAATTTTGCATTTACATTTTACTGCATTTAAATCCCAAGGTTCTAAAGAAAAACAGAAACTGGAAAAGTTAGAGTGAAATCTTCTCTTTTTTTCCATGTGTATGTTGGGTTTTGTGTTATTTTGTTTTGTTTTGATGGAATAATTAAGACTGTTTTCTGATTTTGTTTTCTCAAAGGTCTAGGCATTTCTTTCTGTTGTTGTTTTATTCAGAAAATGTCAGAAACCTTTTTTGAGCAATATCAAGTGGAAAAAATGTAAATTCATTACATTATACAAATTGAGTAGCCCACAGATTTGTAGGAGAGACCGCCATTAAAATAAGATATGCATAATTAACATTATTATGAAAAAACTAACAGTGGATTCACAGAAGCTCATTTTTTATGACATACAACTGAATCAGTTGATAAAGACAAGGGTTGAGGAATTCTTGGACGAAGAAAATTTTCCCTTTTCTGTGCTTGCTCACTCTTCCAATTTGAAAAATTTATTATTTAAAAAAAAATCCAGATTGGTTTCAGGCCTCTTTGATTGTGATGTGGGCTTGGTAGTTTATTAGCATTCGCTATTTTTTTCCCACAAATTTGATTACTTTCAAAGGGGAAGGAAAATCCATTAGCCTTTATCATTTTAGGGTGTTTGTGATTTTTTTTTTTTTAAAGCACAAATTTTATTGACTTAAGAAGGAAAGATAAAAAGGGAAGGACAGAGAGGAGATGGAAATTCTGATTCTTATCCACCTTCTCTTTTGAAACACTTACTTTACTGAAAAAATGAGGTAAAACATGAATTCAACTGATTTTAGCATTAAAATTTAATTTTATTTTTGAAGGAAAAAAAATCAAGATACAAACAAAAGCCAAACCCAAAGGTACTTGCCTTTGGAACATGAAAGCACATGAACAAACAGCATTTGATGTATTTTTTGGCCTTATAATGGATCAAATGAAGGTGAAACAAAAAAAAAAATTTTTTTTTAAGGAGACAAATACTGACCAAATTAAAATTTAACAGATGAAAATAAGATACCTACCCAAAGTTGGAGGGCTATTTGTGAGGAATTACTATTTGATTGAATTTGCTGGGGATTTTGAACCAAAAACAAAAACATAAAAAAGTTATAATTTTTCTGTCCAAAAGAAGGGGGATATTGTCAGCGTTTGCAGGGTGGGATCTTGGGTTGGGAGCTGATGGTGGGTCACACAAGGCTAGGGCAGGGATCCCTGTGCCCCCTCCACCAGCCACCAGATGTCTTGGAAGAAATGGTAGCCCCAGTCCATGGATTCCCAACCCCGTTTTGTAGAAATTCAGATTTCTAAGGGGATGTGAATTCTGTGAAATATATTTGACAGTGGCAGAGGGTCGACATTTCCCATCATCGCCATTGCATTTGGGAGATTTTATTTTTTTAGTAACAAAATCCTTCAGGGCTGACTGGCCACATTCTGACATATTTGGAATGAGCTTTTTTTTTTTTTTTTTTTAAAGTAGCATAATTAAAATTTTTTTTTTCTGTTGAATTATTTAGGCCGATGTCTAGGACGGTCAAAGAATTTATAATTTCCAAGGGCTCTGGTGGCCTCATGAGACAGTAGGCCCGAGTTTAGCAAGAGATAGAGGAGAGCTATGCCCTGGGCTGGGGAGGGGTAGGTGGGCACCCCTACCAGGCATCTGAGGAAAAGTCAGGGTTGTAGATAACAGGTTATTTCTGGTGCAAGGAATAAAAATAATTGCAGCATGTCCCTTTGTGTGTCCTGGCTCTCCTGAGACACAACTCAGATTCCTTCATTCCATTCTGCTGAAATTTTGTTGTGTTGTCTCCATTTTAAAGGGAACTCCTGGCTAGAAATTGGAAATCGTTTTTGTTTTTTAGAACTGTTTTTCCCTTAAAGAAATTGTTTATTCTGATCATGTTTGTTGTAGAGGAAATAGAGGTGCATGATGGTACTGTTGGAGGCGGGGTCAGTTTTCTTTTGTTTCTATTGGCGTCTCTCAGAATTGAGGTCTGACCTGGGCCTTGCCTCTTTCACCTCCTATTTTAGATGGAAATGTGACCAGAAATGGATATATGAGCTAATTTTTATTAGCCCATGTCTGCTCACCACACTCTCTTAGAATGTTGGCAAAAAATCTGGCAAATTGGACTTGAGGGGTGGTAATTTGATGATGGGCTGAGTTATTTTGGTGAAAGATCATTTATACTCACTTTCACAGTAGAGACTCTTATTACTTAATGTTTTGCTTCCCTGCCTAAGGAGGTTTTTTTTTTTGTTGTTTTTTTTTTCTAATAAGGTTTGAAATTTCAAGGGCCTGCTTTATAGCTTGACTTTGGACCAAGCAAGGAAACAGGGTTTGCTTATACTTTAGTCCTCCACAGTGGTGAACTTGAACAAGGCCTCTTGCTTTTGCAGAAGGAAAGCAACAAAGATGGCTGGTCAGTGGAAGGCTGACCTCTCCCTGGCTAGCAAATAAATAGCCAATGGTTTGTTTCATTTGAGAAACAGAGTTTAGAAACTCCTTCATTGTCAGATACAATCCCCCCCCCCCCCCCCCCCCCGCCACCAACCTTTGACTCAGCTCGTGGAATGCTGCTTCCTCTGACCTCACAACCCTGATGTCTTCTCCTTGGTTGGGTGATAAGAACTTCCTTGCTGTGTTCCACTGGATGTATAAGCCTGACTTTTCCTGGTCATAGTGAAATTTGAATTTTTTCTATGTTCTTGTAATGTTTCGTGTGGGTTGTGTCTCCTCCCTGCCGATGTAAAGGGAGGTAGATTTGTGGATTCATTGGGGTGCCAGCTTTCTCACAGTCTTGCTATATGACCTTGGACAGATCATTTTTTCCTTCTGAGCCTCAGTTTTTGCATTCGTAAGATGAGAGCTTGGAATCAGAAGAACAATAATATATAAATAGGTTTCATCGCTGATTCTGACTCCAAGCTGCCTGGATCATTGTGTTGAGAAGGATTCTGAGGTCACGTCCATACGCCCATATTCTGGAGAGAGGGGTGCAGTGTCTACCACCGAATGGGGAGTGTGCCTCTTATTTATCATACCCAGGCTAGGCTGTGTCGCGACCCATTAGTGGGTTGTAAAATCAGCTTAGTGTATCACAATTAGCATTAAAAAAAGAGTACAGGGGAACACAAAACAGCAGAGGCATATCACAGTACTGAAGGTAAGTGTTGTCTCATGAAACTTTTGTTCTATTTATATGTGCCGATGTACGTATATGATAAGAAATGGAATTGCTGCTGTGAGTCATGGTTAAAAAGAATTTGAAAGGTGCTGGACTACGTGATCCACCAAGGTGTGCCGCAATTACACTTTACTGCGTATACTCTATTTTCCCATTTATCATCCTAGCTGACTTTTACGTGAACCCAGTGGGGTAGGTGTCCTGGGCCACATGTTTGTCACCTGGTTGAGCCTGTCTTCAGGGCCATCTGTGAAGTCTCAGCTGTGTGGTGGTCAGGCTCACTCCCCAACTCGTTGGCCTTGGATGAGACCTGAAGGACAGGTGCTGGAGGGAAGGCTGCATCTTTGCTAGATTTTCTTGCTGGAACGGAGATTTTGAGTCATTTGGAATCCCTGTCTTGGTGGGAGGGAGAGCTGTCACAATTACTTTCATTCCTCACTTATACTTCACATTGCCAGAGGACTCTTTCTGGAGTTAGAGTTCATGTTTATGCTGTATTTAAATTTTAATCAGGCTCTGTGTGTGTGTCTATATTTTTGTGTGTACGTGCTTCCTAAACACTCCAGAATGGCTGTATTAGTCTCTTCGTCTTTTAAATATCTCAGACCAGGGCTGTCCAATAGAAATGTGATTTGAACCACACATGTAAGTTGCCACACATGTAAT